ATGGGGGTCATCTGGCCCATATGGTTTATCTCCAACAAACTTCTCCCCTGGCTGAAAGACCTGGGCTGAAGTTCTTCAGGAGGTACCGTTGTGCTGTGACCTTAGAGTCCCAGCACCCCAAACCTCCAGACTCATCATAACCATTATGAGAAATTAAAGGATCCTGACTTATACAGGAATACTTAATTCTGAAATTCTAGGCCAAATAACTCAATCTTTTTCATCTTACTATAATAACCTCAGATGCTCCCGCATCAATCTATTGCTTAATAGATTCAATATTTATGCTTACAAACTTATGAATATAGGAATTTGCCGTGAAAGAACATAACTAAAGTAAGGGAACAATTGCTTCCCTAGATTCATGTCAACTCTAGGCAGAAGTTATATAATGACCAACTGCATTGAGCCAGGTTTAAAGTCTGCCAGGTGTCAGTGGGGAAATTGAGTCAGGAGAATCCTACCTCAGCCTTGCAGAAAAGTCGTTCTCCCGACCTTCCCATGAGAACACCTTCTTGCAGCTCATAGGTGCAGCTCACAAACCTCTTTGCAGGTTGCTGACGTCATGGGTCAGTAGCTCAATCAGTTTGTTGTTAACCATACCTGGATTTAGACTCAAAATAATATTTCATTAACAGATTCCAAGGTCTTAGATAGCAAATTCCCCTCATCAGAGTTTCAGGTGTGACTATAGTGTCACATTAATTAGGGAACATCTCCAAAGTGAGTAGCTTGCATAACTTCCTACACATGTTGTGGTTCCTAATAACATCCTAAGTAAAATCAAATTTCCATTAAGATCATAAGTTGCTACTCCAAATAGATTTGCCTTTCTGTTTCTCAAGCTTATCTATCCCTAACCATCCTTAATCTGAAAGAATGAGACACTTTCAGGACTCGAATCTTATACATATAAGTTTAAATAGTAATTTTAGCTCTTTCTAGGCCATGGAATGAATTCAGATCAAAACAGTAAGATCTTTCTACTACTTCATGCTTATATGCTTTAGTATTAATCACTAGCCTTAGATCTCTGACACTGCTCCCATTGAGACTGTTTCTCTAAAAGCACCCAGTTAAGTCCAATCCAAGGACACAACAAACCCAGAAATGAAACTCTTAAGTTCATAAGAGATTTGAACATAATTTTCATCAACAATAAATTATTACTGCAACAAATTAGCTTGCAAATAGAAATTTAGTGGGCCCTCTAAAAGAATATCAAAGACTTCATCAAAACATCTTCTTCATAAAAGTATCTCCTTTTCTTAAAAACAGCTTACAATTTCCTAATTACCATTGTCAACCTGAACATTGGTTAAAGAGACCACAAGCTAGTGATAAGTGATATTCCACCCAGACTCAGGATGTCTGGGTTACTCAGTTTCATGGTCTCCAAATGTTTAACCTAAGCATGAGAAAGGAAATTTAAATAAGATAGGCAAATGTCAGATCCAGGACATCTGGGTGTCCTTTACCACCATCAAGGTAGTGTCTGGGTTAAAGGCGCCTCAGTGGTCATAAACATAAGAATGCTCTTGATCAGCATTCTTAGCTCACTCAGGAAGAAAAGATCAGTTCAGGTTATTTTGGCCCTTATTGGGGCTCGATCTTAAATAATTATCACCATAAAATTCCTAGTTACCTAATTTCTTTAGTCCAAAGGTGTCTGCAATGGGCCACTTAATCAGTAAGAGTTCCACCTCACAAAACTCCTGCACAGGATTGATAAGAATTACGAGATTTTACAAAATCTTTCTTTGCATAATTACATAGTTTCTTTACACACACACAAAAATACTTCTACCAGTAATTCACTTAAACAGTAACTCCAAATAGCTTAGTTAACAATTTTAAACTTCATAAGTGAGAGCCAAATAATCCCAGCTAAAACTTTCCTTTAAACAGAGAAAACTTTTAAGTTCTCATTTCTCAAATTATAGTACTTAAAAAGGAAATGTTACAGAACAGGGTCATATAGAATACCCCAACAGCCTTTACCCATTCCTTTTTTTTTTCTCTGAAGGCACAATTCTTAATTTAACATTCTAAGTTATAAAATGAATTGCTTTTCCAACAACATAACTAATACAATTGCTTACCAGATTACATCACATAAGAAAATTCAGAAATATGTAAGCAGTATATTAAAAACTTGGACCAGACCCAATTAATTATTATAAAAACCTTTTCTCTCTTTCTGAACCCCTTCACCAGGTTCAACAGTCTCCTGGGGCCACTCCCATCCCACTAGACTGGCTTTTCTTTATTATCTATGGGGTCTGATAGCCTCGGGCCACAACCAGATTCAACTTCAATGGCCCATCCCCCAACAAACCCAATAATTATCCTAAAGAAGGACTGGTTTGAAAAACATATATGTACATATATATTTTCCTATTTTTCTAATTTCTAAGTCAGGCCCTGATATGAGAGAATACCTCATTAATTCCAAATACATATCAATAAGCTTTTCCACAATAAAATATGTTTGTACCACAGGGCATACATTATAAAATTATTTCCACAATTGTAATAAACTTTGAAACGACCCATCATCAGTTTAGATGGATGTTCTTCTAAGTCACTTTGTACAGAAAATCATTCATCTCATCATTGATATGTTGAGACTATAACTTTAAACCACCATATATTTTTATAATAGTCAAGATTTTAAATGAAAATTTACTATCATAGTCTTAAAACCCAATATACCTCACTAGGTATTTAACAGTTTCAAATTATCTCAATTTCATCACTAAAGATAAAGAGACATCTCCACTCTTTATCACTGAAGACCCATTCTAGGCCAAGAGTTACTTTAACACCATTTCTACCTCACAATGGTCCCTCAAATTTTACAGTCTAAGAGTTTTAGAAATACCATTTTAGAAATACAGTAATAACCTAAACAATAAACTTCAGATAACATCAATTGAATTTCTAGATTATCACATATAAAAATTATCACTCTTATTACTCTTAGTACTTTTAACAATTACAATAAATAATAAATAGTGCCACTTCCAACATATGCCATTGTATTAAGCACTGTACAATCATCATTCATTTTCTTTTCCATAATAACCACTAGGTTTTTCCTTCATAGAACAGTAAACTTAAATCCAATCAGATCCTAATTTATGATGGCTATACATGATAAACATTTAAAAACATTTTTGTTTTAAATCCAATACTCTTGGCCCTTTAAAAGGAAATATTCTCCACATGTTTGTATATTCCCTTAAAGAGACACGTGTAAATAATTCCTACTTTAAACAATTATCTTCCTTTTTTCTTTCCTACTTCAATGTTAACTAGGCCTAATCAATTTTCTCCCCTTAGGCAGAAAGCTTCTAGAGTTCCAATAAGTAATTGAACAGCCCAGTTTATGCAACAATCTCCAATCACAATGATCTGCAAAATTTCACTTCAATTCTACCCAAAGCAGAGTCAAACTTCCTCACATTTTTAAAACACCTTGAAGGCAGCCAGAATCAATATCCAAGGGTGGCTTACCTCAAAACAAATACCCACTCATCAAGGCTGGGACAGCTTTGGACTCAGAAGGGACATAAGAATTGCAAACCCAGAGAAAAACACTCTCCCAGCCTTTCCCCAAATAGCTTTTATAATGTTAAAAACCCTTATTTTTGTAATGTTAAACACATTACCCCTACACCAGACACATTGGTGGGAGGGATAAAGACAGCCATTCAAACTCTTAGCCTTGGGATCCCATTAAACCTGAATTCTAATCCTGGGCCCTTTTTCTTCTCTTGGCCCTAGCCATCTTGGGCTGCAAGCTCCTTATCAGTTAAAGGCTGCTTGCTGGCCTTCCACTAACTTCTGAGAGATTCTCTCCTTTTTTATTCTAATCTCAATCTCCCCCAGAAAGCCTGAGGCAGGAGGTCTTTCCCACTGTTCCTTTTCCAATCTCAGACCTCAAAAGTTACCCCAAAATTTTTCTGGTAGACACAAAACATCCATAGACAGACAGACACACAGGGTGCGCGCAATCCTATTTCTAACCTTGACCGGTCTTTTGACCTAGGGTCCCCTTTGAATAGGTTCTGAGGTTTCTCTCTCTCTCTCTCTCTCTCTCTCTCTCTCTCTCTCTCTCTCTCTCTCTCTCTCTCTCTCTCTCTCTCTCTCTCTCTCTCTCTCTCTCTCTCTCTCTCTCTCTCTCTCTCTCTCTCTCTCTCTCTCTCTCTCTCTCTTTCTCTCTCTCTCTCTCTCTTTTTTTCCTCCTTTTCTTTTCCTCTTAGGAAAAGGGGGCAAGGAGCGGTAAGGCGGAGGGGCACCAGACAAAGGAGGGGCAGAGCTCGGGGCAGAAGACACAGGAAAAAGGGAAAGATCATTGCTATAACGTGCGGTCTCTTCCTCAAGCGTGGCAGTACCAGTGGGGTCGAGGGGGCTGTCACCTATGGAGAGATTAGCAAGGCAGGGGTAGAGAGATTCTCACGGTGCAGAAGGCTGGGGGTTAAGGGGAGAACGCAAAGAGGGATCTTCTTTTAAGGGCATATCCATAGAAACTGAGTCATCATTTTTTCCTTTAGGTTCAAGTTTCGTTTGAGACTCTATATTTACGGCTCCATGGTTACTGGGGTCTATGGGAGGGCTTAGGACCCTCTCACTATTTTCTCTTTTAAAGATAACACTTCCCTCCTTAATAATTTTTGAAACATCTCTCTCCTGATGATAGATACTCAGTAAATCATTAATACAATTCCAATAATTGAAGGCAGTAACGGGGACCTTTTCTGGGCCAAATGTCTCATAATAGTCATTAAGACAATCTCCAACCCTTTTCCATCGTTTCTCATCAATTGTTCCTTCCTGTGGGAACCAGGGACAAACGTCCTTGAGGAAACAAAAGAACTGAATCAAATCTTTCTTTTTAACCCTTACTCCTCGCGCCTTTAAAGAGTCTTTAAGACCCGTCACAAACTTCTCATGAATACTAATGTCTTGTCCCATTGTACAGACGCCTCACTTACCTCAGGTCTCAATTCCTCGGGGCGGGCACTCCCGCGGCGACCACCGTCACTATTGTCTAGGCTGCAGCTTAATTCTCAGAGGTACATCTGACAAAAGGCCATTCCCAAAATCCACAAACCTTCGAGCCCCACGTTGGGCGCCATCTGTCCCGGCCTGCGGGACACCACGAGGGCCTGAAGGGAGAAAAAAGGGGATGGGGACAAGAGACGCGAAGAATGGAGACAAGACAGGCTTTCTGATCAAGTCTCGTTTATTGAGGGCAATACTAGCAGTAATTATACTCCAAGAAAAGAAAGTAAGGGCTTTCCAAAGGTCAAGGAAGGGATGATAAGGTTATCAGAACATACTGTTTCCAAAGAAGGATGGGGGAATCTACCTTTACAATCGTACCGTTTTATTGTTAGCACAGGTGGCTGGTTCCTGGCCCCCTACAGAAATCAGCAGGAAAACCCGTGGATTCAGATATCTACATACAAATGCTGAAAGTTTAGGCTGCAAGCAAGAGGAAGTAGAGTTCTAACTCAAGGATACAGGTGTGATGTCACAATCATCACTGAGGCTTGGCAGGATAGCATCTTGAAAGGGACCAGGATTATATAAATGAGGAGTGGAGTACCATTGCATGGTCTTTAAAAACATACTTGAGAGGAAATTCAGGAACTAGAGTAGGGTAGCATGGTGGAGACATTGAGGTAAAGTTTAATGGAAGGGCAAATAAAAATTGTTTTGTCTTTGGAATGTACTATAGACTACCTGGACAGAAAGTAAAAATAACAAAGGAGTTTGGGAAATATAAGCCTGCAATACAAGGATAACACGGAAGTGATGGGAGATTAACTCTATACATCTGTTAGAACTCTCAGCCAAACACAGCATCTAATCACATCTTGATTTGCCTTAAAGAAAATTGTATCCTTCAAAAGATGGAGGAACTAACAAAAAGGAATTATTCTCTGAATCTAAGAATAACAAAAAACAGGCAGCTGGAATGGGAATGATAGGGGCCTTAGAGGGATGTTCACTCCTCCAATTTATGATAAGCAAGCTGGGTCTGATATGCACCTTAAATTTGGGGAAAATAGCTTCTCATGGGAGAAACATTTCAATAAGGAGAAAAATAGAAATAGTCTGAAGTGGATAGGGTACTCACCAATTTAGATTTTTAAAAGATGTCTGCAGAAGATGGAAGCAGGGATAGGTAATAGAATAGATAACAAACACAAGAATATGGCATGATCCAGTGCAAAAAAATTGTCAGGAGGACCCAAGCTCAGAATGAATGAGCTGAATGAAATTAGCAAGGAAAGCTAAGTACAGCCAAAAGGATGTTTTTATTTGTTTTAGTTTTAAAACTATACTGAGGGAAAGAATGACTAAAGAAAGGATAAGGCCACTGTTGGTTTTAAAGGGATGATGATAACTGAAAACATAAAGAGGTAAACTACACGCTTTTTATTGCTTGTTTTCTCTGCCAAAGAACATTTGATCTGTACTGGAAATGATAGAACAAATATAGTTATCAGAGAATTAATAACCAAGATAAATAAGCACCCACCTGCCCTTCATTAATCTAAATCACAGCCTAGATGAATTCAACTGTTGAATACTGAAAGAATTGATGGATGTGATTACTGAGTCATTGCTACTGATATTTGAAAGATTAAATACAAAGAGAAAATTAGTCTGGAGAAAAAAAAACATTGTCCCAATTAAAAAAAACAAACAAACCTGAAAAGAGTAGAGTCTGAAAGCTATAGAATAGTAAGTTTGATTTTTACTCATAGGAAAAATTCTAGAATAGGTAATTAAAGAGATAGTAAATCTTTAGAAAAGGAAATTGTGATAAAAAATGAATCCTGATATCAATACACCATATAAACTTTTTTTCATTTTTTGATTGGATTAAGTCAACTAATAGACAAAGGTAATAATGACGTAGATACAGTTTATATAGATTTAATCAGCATTTATTCATATAATTCACATAAAAAGATGGAGATATATGAAATAAACATCAGTGCAATTGAAATAATGTATGAATAAGGAGACATTTATTTAAATACTCTCTTCAAAACACTGAGCTAAGCATTGAGTATACAAGTACAAGAAGCAAGATAGCTTCTGTCCTAAAGAAGCTTACATTTTAATAGTTCTAAAACAACAAATATATGGGATTGATGCCCAATGGGGTTTTAGTCAGTGAAGTCACAATGACAGTGAGTTGATTTATAGGACAGTCAAATGACATATTCTTTCCAAAAGCAGCAATATTATTGATTTCATTAGGGCAGATAGCAATATGACCCAAGTGGCAGGCTAGACATATGAGTGAAATGTGTAGCATGGTCTGGACACTGTCTAGATGTACTAGGCTACGTAATTTCACACTTATTTAATCCATAAACAAGAAGGCTCCATTCCCTAGCATGGAGATCCTAAAATCTGGATTAACTTCCTCAGAGACTGGAACATAGGTTCTGTAGGTTAAGCCCCAAAGGAGCTGATTCAAATGGGGAGAACCAGTACAGCCATAGCATGCAAGATGGCAAGATGTCTCAGATGGATGACTGAATGACTAAATGGGATAGATTCAGAATGTTTGAATTGTTGTAGGCAGAGGATCCAGGTTTAAGAGAATGATAATAGTTTTCTCTTCTCTCTTCATCAGGCTTTATCTGTGGTATCATGGGCAGTTCTGAGCACTGCTGTTTTCAAAGGACATTGATTCTAAGGTAAAGCATCTGGAGGAGGGCAGACAGGATGCTTAAGGGTTTAAATCTAAATAGTATGATGATCATTTGAAGGAACCAGAAATATTTAGCCAATACAAATGAAAGTTAGTACTTGAGCTGAGCTTGGAAGGAAGGAAGGAAGACTGTCTTTTGCCAGGAGGCCAGTGTCACTGGATTGAAGAGTATGTGTCAGGGAGTAAAGTGTAAGAAGACTGGAAAGGCTGGAAGGGCTATGTTATGAAGCACCCCACTATGTGCCAGACAATATGGTAACCACTGGGGATATAAAGAAAGACAAAACATAACCCTGCTCTCAAGGAGCTCACAGTGAGGTCTCTTTGACTCTCAAATTCTGTTATTCTTTTTTTATTGTTGTATCTCCAGTACCTAGTCCAGTTCATTACTTGTAGACAACTAATTGTTAAGTTAAATTGAATTGAATTGACTTTGTGCATATTTAGCTATAGTATCAATTTATTGTCCTCATTTGGCTATGGTAATACTGGCAAAATAGAAAATGTAGAAGAGACATCATTGAAGTGAAAGGTACATATAGTCATAGAAAACACAGATAAACTATTTGCCACTTTCGAAGTGTACTATGGGCTTTGGGATATATTATTTTCAACGATATCATGTAACTGGAATGCTAGATATTTAGTTTTAAATATTATGGAACAAAAAACTCTAATGTTTACAGCTCTGGAAACTTCTTGGGATAAAATCAGTTCAAGAGACAAAAAACCCACCTTATTTCTATAAGAACTATGCATTAACTCCCAGATTAGAGAGAGGATTTTCAAATAGAAGAAAGGGAATATTAAATATGTATTGTGAACATTAACTTCCTCTCTTAAGTCTACTGCCTACAAATCTGGACACAACACTTTTATTTTTGTTCTTTTTGCTTTCACTGGCCACTTACCTTAGCATCTAGATGTGTGTGTGTGTGTGTGTGTGTGTGTGTGTGTGTGTGTCTGGCATATATACATAATTGTTGGTCTTAAATGATAAGACACACACATTATATAACTATCAATACTATAGACAGGATTTTATGGAGTATTTCCTGATTTATTTATACAAAACTCAAAAATAAAGGTCTTTTTCATCCTGCCTCAATAAGTGTAATGATTTTCTTGGCTTCCAGCCCCTACATCCCTCCAGCCCTGCAGCTGGGTCTACTTAGCCTTAAACTTAAGGGCCAATCCTTGCAGTAGCTCTGGGTCAGATTCACAGAATCAAATCAACCTGCAGTCTGGTTTCATTCTGAGAGTGTATTGAAGTTCCTGTAAATAATATAAATAAGCTTCTGCCTTTTTTTTGTCCCTATGACAAGCCCCAGACATATGCCTCATCTGAAAATATGTCCCTAACTTTTCAGATTATGCCCTACTCTTTCCCAGTCGGTCTAGATCTCTAATTTCTCCATAAACTCCTTAGTCTGGTCAATCCCACAATTGATTTGGCTCCAGACATGACAATGAGGTTTAATAAAATGTTTTTCATAAGTAGTGGTGTGCTGGAACCAGCTCTAATGGCTTTGAGAGCCTATTGTTAAATTTTCAGTGTGATTGTTTACACCTCAGATTTTGGCAATCACTACAAATCAGGGATAGATTTATTGTTTTGACTGTTGCCTTATGAAATTGTTAATAATGCTGATTAAACTTTAAAGTATGTGCATACATTTTTTTTCTTTCTTTCTGGTGAACATATTGTTAACTATTTACCAGTACACTCCTATTTTGCTCTACAAACATCGTTAGAGCAGTAGAAGGATTGGGGTATGAAATCATCACCAGATTGGAGGTTTAGTGACTGGAGGCTAATAATAATAATAATAATAATAATAATAATAATAATAATAATAATAATAATAAATGGCACTTGCATAGTAATTTAAGGTTTGCAAAGTGTTTTACGTTCATTACTCATTTGAAACTCACAACGCTTAGGTCATAATCCCTTCCCTCAGGAAGCTTCCAACATATTACAGGTGATATGGCATATACAAACAATTGTAATAAAAATTAGAAAGTGATCATTGAATAGAAGATATTCTAGATGGTCATCTAAGAAAGACTTGGGGGTATTAAAAAAATAATAATGTCTCATCATTATGTAGTGCTTTCCTCATAAATTGGATAGTACAATTTTATTATTTCATTTTAAAGATGAGGAAACTGAGGCTATTGTTGTTTGGTGACTGGTCTGCAGTTGCAAAGTGAGTGTCAGATGTAAAACAAGATTTTATGGTGCCAGTTCTGGTGTTATTTGCCCAACACCATATGTATGAAGAAGGAGAACTATTAGCTGAGCCTAAAAAGAAGGGAAGGATTTCAAGAGGTGGAGATTGGGGGATATAGGTGGGTTAGAGAGAGAAGGGGAGCTCTTTGAAGAACAAATCATTAAAGACATGGTTAGGAAACATCTTTAAAAAAGTGAGAATAAAGGGTAAGCATAGCTTCATCAAGAACAGGTGATAGATGGCTGATGAATGTTTACTTTTTTTTTATAGAGT